AAGCATAAACCACACACCATACTGTTGTTAAATTTCCTCTTTAGGGCTCCGCCCAGGCTGGAGTGCAATGGCACCATCTCAGCTCACTGAAACCTCCATCTCCCAGGTTCAAACGATTCTCCTGCCTCAGCCTCCCAAACAGCTGGGATTAGTCACGTGCCACCATGCCCAGCTAATTTTTATATTTTTAGAAGAGATGGGTTTTCACCATGTAGGCCAGGCTAGTCTCAAACTCCTGACCTCAAGTGATCCGCCTGCCTCAGCCTCCCAAAGTGCTGGGATTACAGGCGTGAGCCACCATGCCCGGTAGAACCTTGATCTTTTAAATGTGAATTTTGGATATTTCTATTACCTGTAAGGAGAGAGGTGGAGAAGATGAAGGTAGAAGGGAATACTGAATAAATAACTCCTGTGTACTAGCTCTCAATACATGGGATGTTTGATAACAGATCTACAAAACAAGTCATGTTAATAGATGAGAAATTAAAGCTCAGAAAGGTTAAATAATTTCACTAAGGTCACCATGTACTATTACACCCGAATTCACAGTTGAAATTAACTAGATAAGGCCGGGCGCGGTGGCTCAAGCTGTAATCCAGCACTTTGGGAGCGGAAGGGCGGATCACGAGTCGGATCGACCATCCTGCTAACACGGTGAAACCCCGTCTCTATTAAAAAATACAAAAACTAGCCGGCGAGGGGGGCGCCTGTAGTCCAGCTACTCGGGAGGCTGAGGCAGAGAATGCGGGAACCGGAGGCGGGAGCTTGCAGTGAGCTGAGTCGGCCCGCACTCAGCCTGGGGCGGCAAGCGAGACTCGCGTCTCAAAAAAAAAAAAAAAAAGAATACTGGAAATCCTTTCATTCTGGACATGGTGGTGTCTAACTGTAGTCCAACTATTTGGGGGGCTGAGGCAGAGGATTGCTTGTGCCTAGGAATTCATGTAAGCCTGGCAACATAGAAACTTTTCTTTTTTTTTTTGAGACGGAGTCTCACCTGCGTCCCAGTGGAGTGCAGTGGCCGATCTTGGCTCACTGCAAGTCCGCCTCCTGGGTTCACGCCATTCTCCTCCTCAGCCTCAACTGAGTAGCTGGACTCACAGCGCCCGCACCAGCCCGGCTTAATTTGTGTATTTTTAGTAGAGCGGGTTCACTGGTCTCGTCTCTGACCTGGTGACCGCCCGCCTCAGGCCTCCCACAAGTGCTGGGATATCAGGCGGAGCGACCGCGCGCCGGCCAGAACTGTTTCTAAAAAATAAATAGTCTGCGGCAGTGGCTCCACGCCTGTAATCCCAGCACTTGGGAAGTGGAGGCAGGTGGATCACTTGAGGTCAGGAGTTCAAGACCAGCCTGGCAAACATGGCAAAATCCCGTCTCTACTAAAAAAACGAAAAATTAGCTGGGTGTGGTGGTGCATGCCTACAGTCCCAGTTACTTGGGAGGCTGGGGCAGGAGAATAGCTTGAACCCAGGAAGCAGAGGTTGTGGTGAGCTGAGATCATGTCACTGCACTCCAGCCTGGGCAACAGAGTGAGACTCCATCTTAAAAATAAATAACTTTGGGAGGCTGAGGTGGGAGGATCACGAGGTCAGGAGATCGAGACCATCCTGGATAACACGGTGAAACCCCATCTCTATTAAAAATACAAAAAATTAGCCGGGCATGGTGGCACGCACGTGTAGTCCCAGATACTCGGAAGGCTGAGGCAGGAAAATCGCTTGAACCTGGGAGGTGGAGGTTACAGTGAGCTGAGATCGCGCCACTGCACTCCAGCCTGGGCGAGATAGACTCCATCTCAAAAAATAAATAAAAAAAGTTAACAAATAATCAATTTTCTTCCCTCTACACCAGAGGTCAGCAAACTTATTCTGTTAAAGGCCAAACAGTCAATAGTTTAGGCCTCATAAGCCATACGGTATTGGCTGCAACTATTCAGTTTTACTGTTGTATCATTAAAGCAGCCACTGAAAAGTGTAAACAAATGAGCATGACTGTGTTCCCGTAAAACTTTAAGGACATTGATATTTGAATGTCACATAATTTTCACATGTAACAACACTATTATTACTTGGATCTTTTCCCCAACTATATAAAAATATAAAACCCATTGCTACTGCATGGGTCTTGCAAAAACAGCCTGGAGTCGACCCATGGGCCGTGGTTTGCTGACCCCTATCATACACTGTGACACCTCCTTGGAAGTACACCCCTCTAATGCCTTTGTTCCAAACAATACTGGGTTGGGAAAGACATGGAAAAAGGAACATGAGACACATTATTTTTTGTGCTCTATAGGTGATTGAGGGGTTGCTGCTACATAGCTCCCTCAATTTGTGCTGTAGCAACATGTAGTTAAGATCCTTATTCTAACACTGAATGTCTCTTGTGGCTTATCCTACTAACCTTAAATTGTAATGTTTCACTCTTTTAAGTAAGATTCTTTTTCTTGATTTTTTTTGGACGAGGAAGTCTCGCTCTGTTGCACAGGTTATGCAGTGGCCGGATCTCAGCTCAGCTGTAAAAGCCTCCCCGGCCTCCTGGGAATATGCATTCTCCCTGCCTCCAGCCTCCCGAAGTAGCTGGGCTACCAGCGCCGCCACCTCGCCGGCTAGTTATTATTTTTGTACTGTTGTTTAGTAAGATGAGGGTTCCTTCACCGGTTAAGAAGCAGCGCCGGTCACATTCGATTCCTGACCTCGTGATCCGCCGTCGGCACCAGCAAGAAGCTGGCGTCTCAGCCTCCCAAAGGTGGCTGGGGAATTACAGGCTTATGAAGCCCCACCGCCGCCCAGGCCTTTTTATTTTGTTTTTTGTTAGACAGGGGTCTCACTCTTGCACCCCAGGCTGGGGTGCAGTGGGTACAACCCACCGCTCATTGCAGCCTCGCCTTTCCCATGCCTTCGAGATCCCTCCCCACCCAACTCTCTCAAGTAGCTGGGACCTACAAGTAGTGCACCACTATGCCTAGCTCATCTTTTTTTTTTTCCTTTTTGTTTTTGAGACAGAGGTCTTGGCCCTCTGTATGCCCAGTGCTGGAGTGCCCAGTGGGGCGGATCTCAGCCTCACTGCATAGCTCCGGCCTCCCGGTGTTTATTGAACCATGTCCTCCTGCCATACCAGCCAACCCGAGTTAGCTGGACTACGGTAGACACATGCCGACCTCACCTGGCTAGTTTTTTTTTGATATTTTTGTCTCTTTTTTAGTAGGATGGATTTAGAAAAAGATGGGTTTCACGTGTTAGCAGGAATAGTCTTGATCGTCTCTACCAATAGGCGTGAATCTGCCCATGCATGGAAGGACGCTACCCAAGAGTGCGGGATACTCAAAGACAGGCTGAAGCCAACGGGCGCCCAGCCTTTTTTGTTTTTTTTAAATAAGAATATGGGGGGGGGTCTCGCTATGTGCCCTGGGCCTGGTCCTTGACTTCCCTTGGACTTAAGCAATCCGCTGGCCTCAGCCTCCCAAGAGTGTTGGGTTACAGTGTGACGCACTGTTCGCCCGGCTGAATGATCTTGATGTAATTTCCTTTAATGCTTAATAGTTGAGTTAGTAAGTGCTAACTATAAATATTCACTGATAAACTATTATCGGTGCTGCGCAAATATGCCTTTTTCCAGAGATGAATAATCAATGGGCAGCAATATAACAGTCTGTACAATGAAATGAGAAGCATATTAGCAGTCGGGCTATATGCATGATTAACGGAACAAAATGTATCACTGGTTAAATTTAGTATAGGGACCAATTTAAA